TCCAGGTAATGTCAGTGTTTTTAAAAGCGTGTAGAAGAAAGATGCCATTGACAATGGTCAAGAACCCACTCAGGGTCCCGATGATATCTCCAGCTTTCATGCCATACCACTCCTGGAATAAGATGGCGGAGCAAGTCACTACCATGGACGTGAAGCCCACATAGTAAATGGGAGTCACGAATGATGTATTAAAGGTGTCCAGGGCCTTGTTGAGATAGTTAATCTGTGTAGTCACTGAAAGCACGAGCACAGCCAACAAAATGAAGACCAGGGGATGCTTGTAAACAGGTTTCCACTCTAATAGCTCCTTAATGGCAATTCCCAGGCCCTTGACGGAAGACACTGAAAATGCTCCAATCATTGAACAGATTGAAATGTAGACCAGTATGTTGGTCTGTCCTTTCCTGGGAGCCACGACCAATATCAGCACCAAGCAGATCACAGTTATAACAACTGCAAAGGCTATAAACCCTGTCAGGGAAACAAAAGGATTAGAGTTCAGAAAATGCTAATAGCATCATGCCTATCTAAAAATCTTGCTAGTCATAAATTTAAATGTTTAAGTGTTTTAGTGACAAGAGAAATTTTTTTTAAAAATTCTATTGTATAGCTTTTAGTATTGAACAAAGAACTTTCATAAGCCTATGATTTGAACCTCACAAATAATTTGATGTGAGACAGTAGTGAATGATGATCTTTTTATTTTCAGAGGGGAAACGGTTTAAAAGTCTGGTATTGCATATAAGTCTTTTGCCTTTACTACCGCCATCCTTTCATTTCATTAAGTAGAGTGAGAGCGTAATATCAAAAATTAGTTCTGTTGTTGATCCAGAAGACTCTTAATAATCAAATCTTACTGTGTCTCACAACCCAAAAGGAGGTGTGTAGGAAGCCTGCTGTAATGTTATTTAAAATATCCTTGGATGAGGAGAGTGGAGCAGAATTTGAGTGAGTGTATCTTTAGATTGAATTACAGACCTGGGTCTCTCAATTTCATTTCCATTTCATGCAGAGAAGCAACTTCCTCTTCTTGAGGGGCATGGATAACCATCACAGTTGACCCCAATATACTTAATATGCAGCCTATTTTCCCATGAATATTCAAGCGCTCATTTAAAAAATAGGAAGACAATATTGCACTGTTGGGAAGAAAAAAAATTATAATCACTCTGGCTGAATTGCTTTTTGATGCCATAGAACTTCAGCAATCACACTGTGGTATGACATGTGGAATATGCTTGTGACACCAAAAAACTAGAGTTTAAACTGAGAAATGATGCCAATCAAATCTGTTGTCAGTTGCTGCTGAATCAATTGTGACTCCCGGGACCTTATGTGTGCTCTCCAGGGTGTTCAAGGCTGCAGCCTTTCAGAAGCAGGTTACCAGGCCCACCTTCTGAGTTGCCTTTGGTGGGTTTGAACTATCACCCTTTGAGCTATTATTTAAACACTGAACCCTTTGAGTCATCCATAAAGCCTCAATAAAATCTGCTTCATTGCTTTTATAAAGTCTTTATATCTGAAGAGTTAAGACACTTTATAGCCCTTTAATGATGAACTCCTGGTGTGGCACTGTCGGATCAACACCAGACTGCGAGCCACAAGGTCAGCAGTTCAAACCCACCAGCTGCTCCTTGGAAACTGTATACAGGGTCACTATTAGTAGGAATCAACTCAATGACACTTAACCACAATAATCTTCCCATGATATTCTAAGACATTCCACTCAATTCATTTTCAATTTTCCTATTTTCTCCTGAAAAGACAAGTGAACTTGAAGATCTTTTACATCTTCCTGGCATGATATATTTAGAATGTGTCCATGAAAAATTCAAAGAAAGGAATTTGCCTAAGGAAGCATTACTCTACTTAGGGCTAATATTTAGGTAATCACCAGTAATCATGTGGGTTGTCCAATTGTTGAACTATTTCCTCATCAGCTGCTACTGCCCTGATATGCTCATCTGTTCAATACTCCCATGGCTTCAGTTCCACTGGTCCCAGGAAGCTCCAATCAGTAATACTGGACCCCAGAACAGAAGAGACCATCCTGATACTCCACCAAGTTAGCTTGCCGAGGCTCCTGCATACCAACCTCCTTTCTCTTTTATTTACCCTGGCATGCCCATGAGCACATTATCAATGCCCACCTGGGCCCTAAGACTGCAGTCCACTAATAGTGTTTTTCCAGAATCATCCTTGTGAGGACTTCAGCTTTACTGAAAATGACTACTACTTCTACCTACCACCACCTCTCTGTCAGTCTGTTATACGACAGTGGCTTGCTTATATGTGGCTGTGATGCTGCTGGAAGCTTTGCTACTAGTATTTCAAATACCAGCTGGGTCACCCATGGTAGAAAGGTTTCAGCAGGGCTTCCAAAAATCAGACTAGGAAAAAAAGAGCTGGTGACCTACTTCTAAAAATTAACCAGTGAGAAGCCCCAGGAGATAACAAGACGAGGCAAGGCTTTGTTCCCTTCCAGATAAGGTATCTGAGTCAGAACCAATGCAATAACTACTAACAGCCTTATTAGCTATCATTCATTATAAACTTACTAAGTGCCAGCTAGTGTATTAACTGACTTCAGTCTTATAGAAATCTTACCAAGATGGTAAAAAGAACCGGGCAGGCCTACCAAAAGTTTTTTACTAGAAATTAAAAATGAATCATGATCAGAGGAAAACAAAAAGACAACAAAAAAGTAACTTAATCTTAAAAAAAAAAAAAGTTTATGGGCTCATTGAACACATTCATTTGGAATCTTAATAAAGACCTACTGGGAAAAAAAAATTAGACCTACATTCTATGAAACAGAAATTTTATTCTGTTTCCAGAACTAAAAGAAACTCAGATCTCCAAACAGATGTAGTCAACAGACAACCCAAGAATTTTATAGAGAGTTGAGATCTACCCCAAACTGAATACTTTTTAAAGCTCTGATAACTACCATCATTAATCAGCAAATGACAGGCTTAAGAAGACGGTGGCAATTTGTTCAGGTAGATTTAAAAAATCTGCCATGTTTCATTGAACTAACACAAATAGTGTTGTTATGAGTTTGGACTCAACAGCATCCAACAACATAATGCATAATTATTTCATGGTACTAGGAAATCAGGTATGCTTTCCCAAGGGTTTCCAAATTTCAATTATAAAGACCAAACCCACTACCATTGAGTTGATTCCAATCCATAGCAATCAAAAACAGGGTTTCTGAAACTCTAAATGAGGAGCCAGCAGACAGCCTCATCTTTCTCCGATGGAGTGGCGGGTGGGTTTGAACTGCCGACCCTGCAGTTAGCAGTCCAATGCCTAATCCACAGTGTCACCAGAACTCCTTGATAATAAAAGGACAATCTATTTGTTTCCTAGGAGCCCTAGTTAAGTTGTTGGCTTCTACGTGAAAGGTTGGAGATTCCAATTCACTAGCTGGTCTGCAGGAGAATGCTGCAGCAGTCTGTTTTGTAAAGATACAGGTTTGGAATCCATATTGGGCAGTTCTATTCTGTCTTATAGGATCGCTATGAGTCAGAATCAATTTGACAGCAATAGGTTTGGTTTGGGGTTTTGGTATTAATTTCCTGTTTCTATTGCTATTTATTTCCTAGTCTCAAATTATTTTTGTGATTTGTTTGGTTACAGTAATATCTTTCTTGTGGTGAAGTTTATCATGGAAGGAAAATACCTATAGAAATCAAGCTCCTTACTGTTCACATACCTTATGAGAACACTCAGGGCACCCAGGGGAGTGACCAAAGTGGCAGGTGCAAAAGCATAGGCCACAAAATTTGCAGCCTCTCCTGCTCCCACTAGAAAGTAAGCAACAATACTCAAATCAAAGAAGGTTTATCTGTCAAGAGAAAAACATGGCATGTGCAAAGCAATAAACTGATGAAACCCATTGCTGTCGAGTTGATTCTGACTCATGGCAACCCCCCCGCGTTACAGAACAGAACTGTCCCCTAAGGTTCTTTAGCTGTAATCTGTCCGGAAAGGGGCACATGGTTAAGTGCTCAGCAGCTATCTCAAAGAGTGTTGCTTCAAACCCACCCAGCTACTCTGTGGGAGAAAGACCTGGAGATCTGCTTCCATAAATATTTTTGCTAAGAAAATCCTACGGGACAGCAGTACTCTGTCACATAGGGTTATAATGACTTGGAAACACCCAACAATAATCTCTACCAAATGGGTCGGAACCGACTCGATGGCACATAACAACAACAACAACAACAACAAAGGAGATCACTGGCCCTTTCTTCTGCTGCACCAATGAGTGGGCTTGAATTGTCAACCTTTTAGATTTAGTAGCCTGTTTTTTATTTTACTTTTGCCACCCGTGTTCTTAAAAAAAACACTGCAAATAGGTTGAATCTGCTTAGCGGTATCTTGGGGATAAGGTTGAGCAATCTCTTCTGGAAGATCTGAAAGACACTGAAGACTCTATGGAGTACCCTGACATACATGGTTCACCTAGAGTCAGAATTGACTTGAGAGCAACTGGTTTGTTTGGTTTTTTGGTTACAAAGTCAAGTAATGCAAAAATGATTCTAGCAATTCCACTGAATATGTTAACAGATGAATACACACTTTAAACAACTTTCAATAAAGATGCTAAACTACATTAGTTTCAGAAACATATTTGGTCATCATGATGAAATCTAATAGAAGTAGCTTTGGAGTAAGTACAGAATTATTCTATTTGCTCAAGAATCCTGTTTTATAGTTAAAAAAAAAAAATTACAGTGCTTTGTGGAGGCCAGGCAGGTGACAGCTAGACCCTGTATAGAGTTTACAAGGAGTGGCTGCTGGATTTGAACCATCAACCTTTGGGTTAGTAGCCCAGTGCTTATCCTATGGCACCATACCAGGACTCTGAATATTGTATTAGTGTAAACTAACATGAAAGTGATTTCATGTCCTACAAATCATTGGAGCAAATCTAGGAAGACAGAGTTTTGCTGACAAACTTCATCTTCCCGCTTATCTTTCCAGTACCAAACAGCCAGGTAGGCCTTTATTTTACCCATGTTTGGATGCTGGCAAGGAAAATGTATGTGCCCTTTCCTAACAAAATATGCAACTAAGAAATTCATAAATTTGAATCTGGAGCTGGAAAAAATGTAAAAGAAAGCATTTTTCTCAATTATTGTAGGGCAGAAAATACAAGAGACGCTAATAATAAAATGGAATATCTAAAGTGTCAACTTTTTTCCTTGTATTTTAGGACACCATTGATAGCACTGTATGATGCATATATAAGAATGCATATGCATTCTATCCATAGAAAAAGCTCTAAACTTAACTTCCGTCCTTTCCAGGAAAATAAATGAATCAATTCTAGGAAATTCCTTGTAATTTTTTTTTTTTTTAATTAAGAACTTACTTGAGAGTAATCCTGCCCACCAAAGCCATTCCTTGAGGTAAGAATGCCCACCTTGTCCTAGAAAAATAATTGAAAAGTAGAATTAAGTTTTGGGTGAACAAGATGAACATAATGTCACTCAAGTGTACTTAGGAATATTGATAACATGGCAAATGTTTTGTTACTTATATATTTATACAATAATAAAATGAAGAATTAAGTCCTAGTTTAGAGGGAAATGTTTTGATCTGAACTCCAGGAAGAGTATTAGATAATAGTTGGAAAAGGCAAGTCTTAAGAACAAGTTGTTCTTAAGTTGAGTTGGCTCCAACTTATAGTGACCCTGTTTAGGGTTTCTGAGGAGCAGCTAGAGGGTTTTAATTGCTAACCTTGAGGTTAGGGTTCAGTACTTATCCTACAGTGCCATACCAGGACTTCAAGACCAAGTTAATAAACCTAAAATCTTACAATTTACTTACTATATTTAAAACACTTAAAATATCATGAATACTTTCTCATATTCTTAAACTTCCAACTACTTCTTCTAAGACAAATCTGTTTGTTCTTCTGGCAGTATATTTACTATTCTTCACCAATACCATAATTAAAAGGCATCAATTCTTCTTTGGCATTCCTTTAATATTCTCCAGCTTTTGCATATATATGAGGTGACTGAAAATGCTATGGCTTTGTCAGGCACACCTTAGTCCTCAAAGTCTTTGCTTCTTAATGCTTTCTTTAAAGAGATCTTTTGCAGAAGATTTGCCAATGCAATATACTGATTTCTTGACTGCTGCTTCCACGAGTGCTGATTGTGGATCCATGTAAAAAGAAATCCTTGACAATTTCAATAGATTCTCCGTTTATCATGATGCTGCCTATTGGTCTAGCTATGAGGATTTTTGTTTTCTTCACACTGAGTTGTAATCCATACTGAAGGATGCAGCCTTTGATCTTCAATAGTGACAATAGTATCTCTTTATTCTGGAATTAAGATCTTGTGGCAGTTCTTAAAGCAACCATGGTTTTGAAATAGTGGAGCACAACTGCCTCTTGGTCCACGTACAGATTCCTCAAGAGCACAATCAAGTGTTCTGGAATATTCATACTTCACAATGTTCGCCATAGCTTGTCATGACCCACACAATCGAAAGCCTTTGCATAGTCAATAAAGCACAGGTAAACATCTTTCTGATACTCTCTACTTTCAGCCAAGATCCATCGGACATCAGCAATGATGTTCCTCATTCTGAATCTGGCTTGAACCTCTGGAAGTTCTTTGTCAATGTATGATTGTAGCCATTTCTGTATTACCTTTAGCAAAATTTTACTCTCATGGGATATCAAAGAGATTGTCTGATGATTTCCACATTCCATTGCATCACCTCTCTTTAGATTGGGCACAAATACAGATCTCTTCCAATCAGTCTGCCAGACAGTTGTCTTCCAAATTTCTTGGCAGAGATGAGTGAGTGCCTCTTGTGCCGCCTCACTTTCTTGAAATATTTCAATTTTTATTCCATCAATTTCTGGTGCCTTGTTCTTTGCCGATTCTTTCAATGCACCTTGGAATTCCTCCTTCAGTGTCATTGGCTCTTGATCATATGCTATCTCTTTTAACAGCTGAACATTAACCATTTCCTTTTGGTACAGTGACTCTATGTATTCCTTCCATCTTCTATTGATGCTTCTTGCATCATTCAATAATTTGACCAGAGAATCTTTCAATAATGAAAGTCGAGGCTTGAATTTTTTCTTCAGTTCCCCAGCTTGAGTAATGCTAAACATGTTCTTCCTTTTCGATTTTCTGATTCCAGATCTTTGCACATTTTTTTTGTAATATTTGGCTTTATCTTCTTGAGCTGATCTTTGAAATTTTCTGTTCAGCTCTTGGACCTCCTCATTTCTTCCATTTGCTTTAGCATCTCTACGC